AGGCCCACACTGAATCCATCATACTTTCATTTCACCCTCACAGCAACCAAGTAGTAAGGGATGTATCATCTGCATTTTTAAAATGAGGAATCTGTGGTTCCCAAAACATAAAAATTTTAAAAGTTCAAAGCCAAAACCAGATCTTTCTGACTTTGATGTTTCTCCTTCTTCTCCTCCAACAAGCTGGTACCTGCAGACACACATCTCATGCAGTCCAGCAAGAGGGGCTCACTGGTCCCAAAGACATAAATTCCAGGGTTAGATCTAAAGGTGGCAGTTTCAGAGCCAGATTCAATCTCAGGGGCCTTGGAAGCTGCTCTGCAGATGTGAAAGCAGTAGGCCTGGTTACCACTGGGTTCAGGAACTTCCGTCTGTCCTCCACACCAGGCTTCACAGTGAGACCAGATGCAGCATCTGAAGCATGCCATTGGTCAGCCTGTGCAACAAATGCAGCTCCAGATACAAGACAGAGGACTTTGTGAAAATAAGCACTCCCCTTGTCCTTTCTTAGCTTAGTGGGCATGCCGGCAGGCCATCTATTTGGAAAGTGCAAACAATGACCAAACCCATAATTATTAGACTTTCTAGCCAAGAGCAAGTATAGTCTTGTTTTCTATGTATTCAAATATTCAGAAATTAAGCCTTAGTATTATTAAATAGCAGAGATGGGTGGGGGTTCCCCCTACATTCAACTTCTGTAAGCAAAAATGAGCCATTATGAGAAATTTCTTCCAGAAATAACTTCCAGGGAAGCCCTGAGGTCAGTTTGGATCCAACCCATCTTCTCACTTTCTGTGACATAATATAATGATAATTCGAGTTCTTAATGATGACTGAATCATCCTGATCCTGAATCATCAAAGATTAAATCATGTTCACTAAACAGGATTTCTAGTGCAAGAAAATAGAGTAATGTATTTTAGAAAGAAGTTAGTCAAGTACAAACAAGAAGCATCTAGTTTAACCTAAGATAATCAGAGCATTCTGTTTACCAAAACGCTACTTACTCTCAAATGTCCATGTTGGTGGCTATGACAGAAAAGTCTAATATAATTCAAGACCAGTTTAACTTACTCTTGTACACAAATAATTTTATAGGAGACATTATAATTCGAATCAATAAATGATTCAGTTTGACCATAAAAGCATAAACAGAACTCTTGAAAAAAAAATTGTTCACTGCTCTTTCTTGCTATCAACCATTTGATTTCTAGCCAGAAAACATACAGCCAAAAAAGAACAATTATTTGCTTTTCTTAAAGCTTACTGCAGACTACTACCCAAAGAATCAATCATTAGTCATCAAATTCATTGTAAAGAAAACAAAATTATTAGGGTTCCTAAGTCGTCATCTATTTCAATGTTGAGAGGCAAATTCGACCTCAGATGACACATGGTCTTTCTTCTTTTTATAAAAATGGTTGTAGAGTCAAATTATATTATTATGTTGTGTGTATATAAACTGTGTGACAACAAATCCCCTGTTATAAACAGCTAAAATGCACCAATAAAAAAAAAAAACATGGATAAATAAATAAATAAAATGACTGTAGAGTTTCAAGGGCTCTCAGCCTGAAGTTCTGCTGTCAGAATTTCCTACTCCCTCCTTCTATACCCCACCGACTCAGGGTAAGCTATCTTCTCCAGAGTCAGGAATGAGAGCCAAGAGACCCCCACCCAGCCCCAAGTGGTAATTATGAGCCAGAAAAATAAGCCAGAGTGTAACGCTTATAAACCCAGTCACTCAGCCGTTAAGTATCAAGTGCAGAAATTCTGTTTCTCTGTAACTAGATTTCTATCTGCCACCTTAATTGTGTTGATGATAGAAACTGGATATTGGTCAACTCAGGTTTTGTCTCCATCCTCCCTGTCTCTAGAATTGTTCTTAAGCTTTGAAGGACTAAAAGCATGAGAAAGAAGGAGACATGGATCCTGGTGCTAGCCCTCTACCATCTGTCCTCTTTGGCTCTGCAGCAACCCCATTCCCATTGGTCTCAGTCATCCATTCATGCAGATCCAACCTAAACCCTGAACCCTTGTGGTCCTGACCACCAGTACCATCTAGGTGAGCTGGCTGTCAATGTCGTGTCCTCACCAGATGCAGCCTCCTACAGAATACTCTGCCACTCCCTGCTCTGTTCTGGAACCCAGGGGAATGCAAAGCAGGGCTACTCTAGACCATCAGCTGGGATGCTGCACAGATCCTCTCCTGATCTGTGATTCCATGTGCCTGCCATTGAATGAGTCCTAGACCTCTCTGAGGTTGGACATTCTACCATGCTCTCATCTCACTCCAAGAGCACAGCTGAGATGAAAGATGTGGCACTAGGGCTCTCTTCAGGAGCCTCACAATGACTACTTATGTCTAGTTCCCTATTCAGCTTCATCTTAGATTAAAATTTAACCTAAGATAATCAGAGCATTTTATTTACCAGATTTAGCAAAGATTCTTCCAATTCTATTGTTTAAGTAGCAACCTCACCTTGAAGACCAAAAGAAAATTATTAAGTTGTACTTTTCTCAATATTCCTGCCCCACTAACTCTACCTAAGAATGCTCTTATTTCTGAAAACTTCAGAAAAGTCAAGATAACAGAATATACTTAAGGAAGAGAAATAAGTTTTTATTTTAAAACAGTATCCCTGAAAAGAACTGAAATCCAAATATCTCAAAAGAAGTCAAGGTGGAGCAGTGCATGAAATGTGAAATCTGAGAGATTCTCCCAAAGACAAGGATTGTACTACAGATACAGAATTAAACTTCACAAGTGAAAGTAAATTGGGCTCTAAGTGGAGGAGGAAAAGAGAAACTAGGGACCTGCCAATCATTATGGCTAGTGGAGACGGACTTCCTTTCTAGTGAACTGGGGTTGAGCGAAGACCTAGATTACAAATAAAGGATATATGTGTACAAGATTCAAGAAAAGCCAAGTATGGTGACACATGCCTATAATCCCAGTGACTCAAGAGGCTGAGGAAGAAGAACTTGGGACCCAAGCCTATACATGAAAGTCATTTCTGTTTCATATACAGTTTAAGGTCAGCCTCAGCAATTTAGCAAGGTCCTAAGCAACTTAGCAAGATGCTGTCTAAAAAATAAAAGTACTGACAATGTGGCGCAGTGATTAAGCACCCAAGAGATACAATCCCCAGGACCAATAAAACAAACAACATTGATTTAAGGAAAAATGACAGAGCCAAATTTCAAGGTGACTTCTGCCCACATATATTTATTTAACTAAATTAGTACAGGTTGAGTAACCTTCATCAAAAATGCTTGGGATCACCAGTGTTTTGAATTTGGGATTTCTTTTCAGACTTAGAGATATTTGCATATTTATAATGAGCTATCTTGGGGGTGGGACCCAAGTCTATACATGAAAGTCATTTCTGTTTCATATACACCTATGCATTTAGCCTGAAGGTAATTTTAAGCAATATCTTTAATGCACCTATATTTTCACTACAACCAGACATATCAGGTCAGGTGTGCAGTTTTCCATTTGTGGTGTCCTGTTAGTACTCAAAAAGTTTCCAATTGGGGAATTACAGATTTCAGATTTTCAGATTCTGGACACTTGACCTGTGCTACCATGCTGATCATTACAACTACTGGTGACTTGCAGCCTTTTGAGACCCGCCAAATCAATACAAATATTAATGGAATGAGTCAATTGGTTCTTAAAAACATTATGCCACTAATACATTAGGTGTGTCCCAAACTAAAGTGTTTTAGCTCTTCAAGGAGGACAATTTATGAATATGTCCCAGGACCCATGGAATCAGGAGGTACCAAAGCTGGAATGCAAATCCAACTCAGTGTTCCCTGGATCCATGTGTACTGTGAACCAAGAAATCTGGGGTCTTTATTACAGAGCCCAAAAACAAAGAGGAGGAGAAGAAAGGAACTTTCAGAGATCAGCCTCCCCAGGCAAGCAATGAGGAAGCAATGGATTATTCAATAAATGATAATGGGTCACCTCTCATCATTGGCAAAGATAAAAAGCTAACTAGTGACTTAAATGTAAAATAAAAACAAACATGAAACCACTTAAATACTGCTCAAGAGAGTATGTAATTGACTTATGTGTGGAAAGACTCTCAGTGGAAAAGTACAAGTATAGGATTATGTAGAATTTCACCCTCCTTGGACTAGGGATGTGGCTCCATGATAGAGTGCTTGCCTAGCCTGTGTGAGGTCCTGGGTTCAGTTCCCAGCACAAACAAAAAAAGACTTTCTCACTGAAGTTGTACCCACCCACCTTCTACTGTAGAGTGTAAGAATACATGCCTGTCACAGTTTGCAATTGTTGTGTTTGATTTTTTGATCCCTTTAGCTGTTTGTTCCACTAACTAGGCTAAAGATGGCGAGAGGCGAGAGGCCAGGGCTGCACTCCATTCCCAGCAATGTTTCTGGCATGTATTGGACTCTTCATGATATTTATTGAGTGAATAACTGAGGTTGATTGCAGACAAGATTAAGAGCTTGGGCAGCTATACTATAAGGGGAAAGGAGACGAGCCTTATGCCAGTCTGAAATAGGGAGCTGGAAGTGAGCCAAGAAACTCTAAAACTCCGGAGCCCTTCTCGCCTGTCACATGAAAACTAGAACATTCTGGCCATCAGTCTAAGAAGTATCAAACAAAGTTATCAGCAGCCCTGAATTCTGGATGAAATCTGCCAAACTCGCAAGGGAGACCATGACTTCAAATGAAAATAGGTCTGGAGAACGCTGGGGCTCAAATTTGCTCAGCCCTTGAAGACTTGAAATGGAGTGAGAGGAAGAAGCCAGGCCAAGGGCATACAGAAAAGAGAGAAGGCTCCTAGGAACAGTGAGGCCCTGTCTCAACTCTGTCACAATTTTGCATGAGCTGGTCCGGTGCAGAACATTAGCACAGCGCTCTGGTGGTGATTGTAAACATAAAACAGTGTGCTCACAGCAGTCTCACTTTGCTGTGCCACTGGCTTTCCCGACCTAATGAGACACCTTGTGTTTTGCAGAATGCCGAAGCAAGTTACGACTTCAGCAGCAATGACCCCTATCCTTACCCTCGCTACACAGACGACTGGTTCAACAGGTAAACTGGGCCTTGGGAGGATCACTTACATTAGGCTTTGGGATTTTATATTGCTTTGTTTTGTTTAAGGTTTGAGTATCACCAGCAAAACCATCCCAATGTTTTACTGAATCATATCGCAACTTTTCCTCTTAGTGGTTACATTCTCCACATTCGTTGATTTTTAAATCTTACAATGCTCCTCAAAGAATTATCTTTTGACTGTTTTGTTCTGTTGAATTAGAAATAATTTGCTACTTTAATGTGTTCATAATAAGAAAAATTAGGAACCAGAGATCTTTTCTCTACTTACTGCAAAGTAATTCTAAAGAACAAAAAAAAAAAAAAAAAAAAAAAAATTTAAATACTATTTTCACTCAATCTGTTGAAAAAGAAAAAAAAAAAAAACGCTTTTGGTCCCATGGACCTGTATCTGTATGCTTTAAAAGTGTTTCTGCTATAATCTTACAACAGCTCATGTGGTCTCCTTCCCTGGGCAAAGAGTAGGGTTCAATTCAAAGACAATATTAAACCCATGATATAAATTATTTCTAAGTCCAGATTTTTTTAAATATCATTTTTACTATTTTATGCAAGAAGCATGATGTCCAGAGAGTGGCCAGGATAGATTCTCATTGGACCAGGTGACTTAGTACCAGTTCTTACAGTTAGCAAGTTGACTAGTTAACGTCAGAGGAAAAGACAGGACACTCATGTGTCCTGTCTTACATTCCAGGGCTTACAATACAGAAAAGGAGAAAGACTAAAATAAAATTCAAATTCGTAATATTTTTAGAACGCCATTGCTGATGTTCAATAGCACAATGCATTCTCTATCAACTTCATCTACAGCCTGAAAATTATGATGCTGTGCTTGGAAGTGTGTGTTTGGAGAGTGAGAATAGATAAAAGTCTGAGAACATTGAGTATGAAGTATCTCTGGTTCCCATGACTTATATAACCCTAGATCCTCGCATGCCCTAACCAAATAAAGCCCTTCAGACACAGGGATCTGAAGTTATCAAATCAATGTCATAAAACTGATAGTTAAATATAACTGGCAGGTGCTGGGGATATAGCTCAGTTGGTAGAGTGTTTGCCTAGCATGTACAAGGCCCTGGGTTCAATCCCCGGTCCCTAATAATAATAATAATAATAATAGGTGTCTACTTTTAAAAATAAATAAATGAATAAATAGATAAATAAATAAATGTAATTGGCAATTGAAGTCTGGGATCCTCTTATGAGAAGAGCCTGGCTTTGGCTTGATTACTATCTCTCTGCAGCTAGTATGTTCTAACCAACATTTTGATGAGTTGATTCAGGTCCAAAAATATAACCAACAAAATATTTTTCCCAAACCCCATATCTTTAATCCAAACACAATCTCCCCCAACCAAATGTTCTTGCATGATATGCCATAAGAATAGTTCTTTAAAAAAAAATGCTAAGAACCAGATACGGTGATACACGTCTGTAATCCCAGCTACTGGGAGGTTGAGGTAGCAGAATTTCAAGTTCAAGGTTAGTCTAGGTAACAGTGAGGCCCTGTATCAAAATTCAAAAAATAAAATAAAAAAGGCTAGGGGCATAGCTCAGTGGCAGAATGCCCTTGGGTTCCATGCTGAGTACCAAAAATTAAAATTAAAAATTTAAATGCTAAGGAAATGCCTTCTCTCTAAATTATTTTCATTTGCAAATTTGTTCTTGAAAGTACTGTTTTAAACTGGCCTAAAACCTCTAAATAGAACTAAATAGTGTTTTCTGTAATAAAAATTCATCATTATCAGCAGTAAGAATTCCCAAGTGTCCATTTACCCCAAGACACAGTCATAGTCACTCAGGCAATCATGATCCCTGTGCCCGAAGAAATCAATGACTCAAGACAGAGTGTCCACTTTGACCAATAAATAGGTTTTTCCCAATTATCAAGTCATTTTCAAAGATCCTCATCTGCCATAGCTTGTTATTACAAAGATTGGTTGATGCCCAGCTCAATACATGGTCTTTCAAAACATAACTGCTTTTGTAAATAATTACTGGAGGATGGTAAGTCAAAATTTATGTCCATAGCACTGGGAGAACTCTTGCTCCAAAATATTGGCACCATCTAGAGACAATCCCAGATTAGCTGACAGAGGATTCAAAAAAGGTATTCTTTCCCATAAGGGTAGGATGTGTTTACTAAAATTCTCTCTGGAATGAAATTATATTTTTCCTGGTATTTTCTTCAATACTACTTATATCTTGAGGTAAGAGGTTGGTGAGTGGGCTAGGATATTGAAGAAATAAAAATGGTTATGGGTTAATCATTGTTAAATACAGGAGATGGGTACATGGGAGTTTACTCTATTTTCATTTATCTCTAATATTTTCTACAAAAAGAAGTAAACAAGCTGTGCACACCTATAATCCCAGCAACTGGGGAGGGGGACTTGTTAGGTGCAGGGCAGGCTGAACCAAGTTGACTGCAGGGCAGGCTGAATGAATGTTAGCTGCAGGATAACCCACGCACCCAAACCTCGCCTCTGTCTGGTCCTTTATCATCTGTTTGCATCAAGTCTGAACACTCAACCCCACTCAAGACTAAATACTCGACCCCCACCCATCTGGTGCAACAGAAACCCACATCTGACCCCTGCCCCATCTGCCTGAAGGCAGAAGATGACACCTTAGCAACTACTGTATGATCCAATCACTGTACACCAACAAGGCAGCTTGCAGACCCAGAGACCCCATTAGATTTGGCTATAAAAACTCCCTCCTGCCGGGCCCCTCTCTCTTGCTCTCTCTCTCTCTCTCTCTCTCTCTCTCTCGCTCTCGCTCTCGCTCTTGCTCTTACTTTCGCTCTCTCTTGCTCTCTCTTTCTTCACTCTCTCTCACTCTCCCTCTCAACCTCTCTCTTGCTCTCTCTTTCTTCTCTCGCTTTCGGTCTCTCTCTCAATCTCCCTCTCCCTCTCACTCTCTCTCTTTCCTCTCTTTCTTCCTCTCTTGTGCTTTCTCTCTTTCCCTGCTCTTTCTCTCTCTCTTTTCTCCTCTTTCTCACTGCTGCAGTAGAGATCTTTTGGTCCCTCCGAGTGTTGTGGTCACTTTCCTTTCAGGACTCAAGAGGATTGTGAGTTCAAAGTTAGTCTCAGCAATTTAGTGAGGCCCTGTCTCTAAAATATAAAAAGATCTGGAATGTGGCTTAGGAGTTGAGCACCCCTGGGTTCAATCCCCAGTTTAAAAAAAAAAAGAAGGAGGAGGAGGAGGAGGAGAAGAAGAAGAAAACTTAAATTGCAATAGGTCACAAAATGAGTCAATGACTAGACCTGGGTCCTGAGTTTGGTACTCATGAAACTGCTAGTTTGGGTGTATCAGCTTGTAAGGAGCCTGCAATGTAACATGAAAAGGAAACACATGCTCAAATCACTATAGTGTAAAATGGAGCCCAGGCTGAAACAATGAAACAAGGAGAGTTAGTACACACTGATCAGTTAACTATCCTTCAGGTATTATTTTTAGTGTTTGTGTGTATTAATTCCATTAATTCATATACTAACCCTCTGAACAGGTATTACCAAAATTATCCCCATTTTGGAAACAGAGGCACAGAGAACTTAAGTAATGTGCAAGGTCAAACAGCTAATAAGTCACAGAGGCAGGTTTTGCACCCAGGGAGGAGGTCATTGGTCCAGGATTTGAATGAAGATAGTAGAGGTCCCGGGCAAGTATATCCTAGGGCAAATGTAACCCATTTAAACAAAGATGGAGAAACTGGGAGTTTCAGGAAGTGGACTGGATAACTGGTCTGGGAGTTAAAGACTGGTGCAGGGACATCATTCTAAGAAGCATTCATGGAAGGGACAGGGAAGATTTGAACAGGCTGCTAAGAGAAAGGAGGAGAGATGTTGTAGTCTGGTGAGGAACTGGAGGTGTAGATGAGAATCATTCTCCCATTGTCCTCAAGGAGTGTTGCAACCAGAGGCCCAAGGAGCCCTAAGATTGGCCAGCACTGACCCCTGGCTGATACAGAATCTGTTGCAGATCACACAGGAGCCGCTCCTCAACTTCACAGCCACAAATGCATGCCACCAGTTCTTCGGGTGTTCTCTACTAGATGTGGGCACTGAGCCCAGTACTCCATCTCTGTAAGGCAGAATTGGGGCTCTTGAAAAAGGTTCATTTCAGCATGCACCAAAACTCCAGGAAAGGCTGACTGGTGCTGACCAGAAATGGGCTTTTGCTGTTCACTGTTCCAGCCACACTGCCTGCCACAAAGTCTAGTCCGAACACAGGAGCAATTGCTGCACAGGAAATGGCAGCAGCTCCCCATCATGGATCCTCATTGCTGTGGAAAATACAAAATAAAATGTCCTACAAGGAATAGCCTCCAACAAGCAAGTAAAAAATTCCCCCGTGGAAAGGAAACAGAGTTGAATAGCAACACATCCCTCCTGGGTTTCCCTGACACTTGAAACCATTATATCATGCCCTCTGTACTTACTTATTAACTTGCTTTCCCTTCAAATCTACATCTCTTTAAGAACATATTTAAAAGTCAAAAGACTTTATGAAAACACACTCATACATATGCAGAGAACATTTCTCTTTTAGGGAATAGGGACCTTAGGATGTCTTGCCCTGTTCTTGATTTGATTCTGTAGGATTGTGCCTTTTTAAGTAGAGCCAGTTTATTCTGAGGTGAACCATTTAATAATTACATGCAGACCTTGAGCTCCAGAGACATATTTGAAACACAGTTGAGAAATTTGCAAATGGATTACAATTTCCTCCTCGCTTTCAATCAGAGAAAGATATCGGGCCAAACAAAATGATAACAAAAATAATAACCATAACTGCAAAAAGGTCGAAAATATTACACATCTAACAAGCATCAGTATTGGGCATAAAGATATAATTGATTTGCCATGAGGCTTCAGGATCTAGCATCACATTTTTTTCCCTTGCTGGCCTTCAGTAAATATTGATTGACTGGTTGATAGATGGGTGGCCCACCTTTTCAGCCATGCTGAGATGTC